TTCTTATTACATCTATTAGAATTGTTTAATAAAGGTTAAACATATGTTAAAATAGACACCATGCACTGTGTTAAATTTTGACAATATATCGAACGTGAATATATTCATGTATATGACTTAATGTTTGTATATAATTTTCGCCGAGTTATCGCTGCTCCGTGGTCTAGTGGTATGTCTCTCGCTTCACATGTGAGAGGGCCAGGGTGTGCATCCTGGAAAATCCTTTTTTTCCGAAATACTTTTTTTTACTAAGTGATAGTAATCAGCATGTGAAATGAAAAAAAAGTTAGGTCTGGCTTGTACAAACTCATAAAATCATCATTACAGTGTGATAAATATTCCATATTAAAAGAATCATCACACACATAATAAAGAATAATCATTCAAACCTTTATATCCATATTGGCATATTTTATTTGCTTCAGTATACATTTAATAATTCTACAAATTCAGTCAGGGGGATCCTTTTTCTCTGAGCGGGGGGCACAAATTCTCTGAATTAACTTTTTTCGACTCCGATTATACCGCGACAGCAGGGAGTTGTCACTGCGATCATTGCGCTTCCATGGCGTTTCTACAGCGTTCACTGGCGATCACGATGCGCTTTCAGGGCGCTGTTAGAGCGTTGTCAGCCATCTCACAAAACAAGAGCAAGGGGATTATATTTGATCAGCAATAATTCCAACGTATTTGTTACACTAGGAGCATTTAAATGAAAACAAAAATGGAAGAGAAAATAACACCAGAACTTGTTCTGTTGTTTAAGTTACATTTTGTAGAAAACTTCTCAGCGTGTTTATTTTTTTGTTTTTGAAAATAAAATCAAAAAAAATCTAAGAACACAGCTGAACCCATAAAATTTAAAAAAGTAGTTTAATCATGAAACTATCAAATAGAAAAATTTTAATTATTAAGAATATTTCTTGACATGATTAGAAGTCTTTTCATCGTGTAACCGTAGGGACGCCGTGACACTTTCATATTGTGAAAATTTTACAGAATTTTGTGCAATTTTCCGATTTTAAAACGTTAACAACGCCGTTATGACTCCCTGTTCACGAACGCAGCTTGGTGTGACAGGGCCTTTACGTGTGGATGCTATTCTACACGTTCTAAGAACGTGTAGAAACCTCCTCATCACTAAAATTGATTACGAAATACGCGAGGAATTTAGGTAATATCCCTACTTGACGTACCCGTACACGCATGAAGTTTCTTCCATTAATACACGTGTCTTCAAACGTTGGTCTTCTGTTCAATGTTCTTCGAATAAAAACAGCATGCGACTTTTTGAAACTCTCTTATTACGGTTGATTAAATCATGATTGTTAGGGTTGTCTCTCTTTGTTTTCGGTAAAATCAAGAGGAACACGTGGTGTGCATAAGAATGATCCCTAGCAATGTTTACTTAAAAATGGAATAAATGAAGGGCGTATGATATATTATAAAGGTAAATAAAAATATATGTTAAATAAGTTAATAAAGTTGATTGACCCATGCTGGAAACCTGAGAAATTTTCCCCAGATCTGCGCATAAAATCAAACAATTACTCTACAATTCTGCGGGGTATGTAGAGAATGCTCTTACTTATAGAATCAATTAAAAGAAATAAATCCCACGTGAAGGTGATGAGGGTTAATTTATAGTCCTGCATAAGAAATGAAAGTTGAAAACATCGCGTTTATCATAAAGCTTGCAATTGGTTGTTAGATTATCACAAGCGAATTTTACTAATGAAATTGAAACAGATGTGTCAACATATTATTCTTTTAATTTCAATCTCTCTGAAATATTGTTAATTGTTAATTGAAATACTTGTCTATAATCAACTGTTTAGACTTTTCTCCACACGGTCATGTGAAATAACCGTTGTTTTACCCCTTGTCACGTGTGTTGCTGAGGGTAATTGAACGGATTGTTAACTGCATCTAAACCAATAAGATTTTAGTATTTAACACGAAAGTATAATACTTGAACTTGGCACCCCTAGGAAATACATTGTCAACATCCGCTGACGCGTCGGTTGACAATGGTTTTCCTTGGGGTGTCAATTTCAACTGTACCCTCATCGCGGCGCCGTGTCATACCTAAGACGTAAACATAGGTAGTGACTGTTCCTTCGCCAAGCGCTCGGCACTAGAAGTGAAAGTCACGGGTCTTTCGGATATGACCTTAAAAACGTAGGTCCCGTGTCACGGTAGGCGTTGGCACGATAAAGAACCCTCACTGCTCAATGGCCCTGAGTGCCGAGTATAGGTCTAAATTTGAAGCCCTTCACCGGCATCGGTGACGTCTCCATATGAGTGAACAATTCTCAAGAGGGACGTTAAACAATTTACAATCAATTACAATCAACTGTACCCTCCAAAACAGGCACTATTTATATGATGGTATATATATTACGGGCCCGGGGATGTCCGGTAAAATCGTGGACAGAGCGTTTTTTCTCAAAAAATAATGGACCTTATAGGCTGAAATTTTCAGTGAATATTTCATTATCATATTTGAGTGTATTATAATTTTCTGGATAAAAAATAGACAAAAATAAAGATTTTTTTATTGCTTGAAAGTAAACAGGGTAAGGTCCCATGGGGCACGGTCAAAAACGAAGGTTTTATAAGAGAATACATGAGTATTGATTTGAAGTTAAAGAATTAGGGTAAAAATTATCCTTATTTGATTCTAAAATTTATTTTGTATCCTTTTTAAAAAAATTTCAAGGCATTTGGTCAATGTCGGCAGTTCCTGAGCTTTCAAAATGGGAAAGTGGTAAACACAACACACAAAAACTGTGACGTTTGATGACGTTACTGCGAACCGGAGATCAGTTGGCTTTGATTTAGATGGTGTAATAACGCTGTATATTACTTTTGAATGCAGAAGAAAAAAATCACTAAACAATTACCAGATCTTTGGCATAGAAATGAAATGGGAGTTTCTGAGCTAAGTCTTTCTTGATCAAGTCCTGAGGTAGTACAAAACATACAGGCAAACTGTTACTGTAATAGCAAAAGACTCTGTCACTGTGGACCGTCAATATAAGATTATCTATAAGTTGAATGATGGTGGGAATATTGTCCGTATCTTACTAATAAATCCTCAGAAGATTGCACGTTTCTGCCAGCTTGTAACAGTCAGTTTCTCAATTGATGATGGGAACTGAAGTATGTACATTAAGGTCATACGCAATGTAGTTTGAACTTTATTGAGTTCTTCCCTGGAGTTGAAGAGTTCCACTAAATGAAGGAACCGTGCGCAATACCTTTAATGTCTTTATATGGATCTGTACACCTCTTCTAAAACAATTTTTGATGAAAAAAATTCTGGAATTTTGTTTTTTGTAATTTTTGTGCATTTTTCTTTAAATAATGCAAATTTTTTCACAATTTGATATCTTTTCAAAACCCCTGGTAACGCATGCTGATTTTTTGTCTAAGAACATGTAATGATATTGTAAGTTTAAATTTAGAATATCTTGAAAAATTATCGGTAGGTGAGGTACGTTGCGTCTTTCCTTGATAAAATTCCGAAATTTAAAGTGGGACTCATCCGACCTTACATTCAGCGCAAAGATGAAATTTGAGGTACCTGACGCTGTTTTAGACACTTTGACGTTATCACCCGTACGCCGCAATCTCATAATTTGATTATTCATGTATATATATATATTTGAAATTTGATATATTTATTCAGAAAATATGTACTATGGAGTAATGAAATTATCAGATCGCAGTAATGCTTATTATTCACACGAGACAACTTGTCCACGATTTTACCGGACAACCATTGTATTCATTTATGGAATGGGTAAGAGAGAAATAGCAAATTTATGGTTCCCCGAGGGAAATAGTTTCCTGCCGAGGGGAACCATAAATTTGCTATTTCTCGAGTTCTCATTTTATAACTGTTTTATCATACCGAAACAATCATAGGTAATTTAATTTTTTTTACCGATATTCCCACAATTAAAAAACACTGTAGAGGTATATTTACAAATGCATGCGGTTTAACAGATTGTATGATAAGTAATGCATCGTATCCTAAAACGATCAAATTATTTCTAAAAAGTATTTTCTTTGACATTTCGAAGAATTATCGTTGTCCTCATTATGCTAGAATTCAAGTACTAATATGATTTTGACATCGCATTTGAAATGTTTTGACGTAATAGTTACATTGCTTATAAGGTAATAGTTACATTGCTTATAAGATGAAGTCACAGACTCGAGATTCCTTGAACGCTCCGCCCACTGAACACTTTGATTGGATAAAATTACTAATAAATTTTCATAAGGGAGTAGTCCCAGGGAGTAGCTCTGGTTTTCAAGGGAGAAGCTTCAAATGAGGGAATTAGTCTCTTATCCGAAAAAAAACACAGTTTTATGGTTTAACTTTGATATAGAGTAATTACAATAGAGGTATAATAATACTAGTAGGTAAACAATAGAAAAGAAATTATACATACATAAAATAGATATGCTTTGATAGAATGCTTGCCTCCATCTATTAGAAGAAAAAGTATATATGCAGTTTTTTTGTAGGGGGGTCTAACTTGCTTTCACGGCCGATATGACTCCTGTTAACCTTAAATGTCACAAAAATTTGTCAAACCATCATGTAAAATCTGTGCATAATTTAAATCAACATTTTGTATTCCATTTAGCGTTGATGGAAGAGGGAGGGGGCGAATTCTGTGAAGTGGCGTGTTTCATATTTTTAGTTTTAAAAATATACAGTGTATCTTCAGTGATAATCTATCTAATTTATGTACATTTAAAGATAATACAGTGATAAAGTGTTTATACTGATTATCTGTTTCAACTATCTATATATTTTGTTAATACAGTGATAAAGTGTTTATACTGATTATCTGTTTCAACTATCTATGTACAGACTACTTTGTAATCAAAATTCTTGGTACATTATCTTAATACCAAGAAAAACAAATTTTATATAAAAGCAGTATTTTTCAATCTGATTCTAAAAAGATCTGAAATTCAATGGGGGAGACATAAATGAATTCCTGGAAGAGTTTTTTCTTCAAATTTCTTCAAATTCATGGAATGGCTTCAAGCAACCACAAGAGGAAAATAATTGTTATTTTCATAACATTCTTGTGTAATATGTTGCAATCTGTTAACCTTGATTCAGTAAGTATTTGTAATTAACAAATTTGAATAATGCCGTTCTAAAAACATTATTTAAATGTTGTTCAGCAGAAAAAACATACTAGATTTAACAATTTTGATTTCATAAATGTTTATCTTCCCTAACAAAAAACCTATAGTTACATATAGATTACTACAGGTAAATGTTGTTTACTATAGGTAAATATAGTTTACAACAGTTAAATATAATAAATTAAAGTGTCAGAGTTTTCAATAATGTTTTTCAAAGTGTCAAATTTTCGATAAAGTTTTTCAGATTGTCAAAGTTTTCAATAAAATTTTTCAAAGTGCCAAAGTTCTTGATATTTTTTTTTAAATTGCAAAGTTTTCGATAAAGTTTTTCAAGCGTCAAAGTTTTCGAAAAGAATTTTGTGTCAAAGTTGTTGATAAAGTTTTTCAAAGTGTCAGAGTTTATGCCGATGTTATTGAAAGTGGTTTTTTTTCGCCAAAGTTTTTCAAATTGTCAAAGATTTCGATAAAGTTTTTCAAAGTTTACAACAAAGTTAATCAAAGTATCAAAGTTTTTGCCAAAGTTTTTCTTAGTGTCAAAGTGATCACCATAGTAAACCAAGGTTTTCAAAGTGTCAAAGTTATAACTATAGTAAACGATTGTAAACAATTGTTAACTATATTTTTTGTAAGGATTTAAACGAATTTGTGTGAACGAAACTATACACCACGCATACAAAAACAACTAAATTTACAATTACATGTAATCACTTGAAAGTAACAGATTCGTCAAAATAACAGATATTCTTAATGCAAAACATTAATCAAAATAAACGATATTGTGTTTTTCTTGAAAGAGGACACTTACTGGCATGTTAGTAAAAACACATTCCATCAACTCGGTTTTTCAAAAAAAAAAAAAAAAAAAAAAAAAACTCAAGTTTTTCAGAAACAGCCCACAGTATGCATATTGCACGCACACAAATTTATGTTTTGCTTATTGATGTATGGATTTTGTTACATAGATTAACAAGTGCGATGTTTCTTTTCCAACTATATCTGTTGTTTCCTATTGTCCTGTTTCCGAAGAAGAATGGAATGAAAGAGCTGTGAAGAAGCAATGCCATAATATTCCTCAAAACTGCTCAGAAAACTTATTATTCCATTGTTTGGTTAATGTCTTCAGAAATGCAACAGTTGAAGTGTGCGCAAAGGCAATAGAAATTGTTGGTTTGTATTAGTTTTTTTTTTCATTTTCTCGACAGCATTCAATATCAATATCTTTCAAGTTATATTAGATATGAGTGTTCAGATGCATTAACAAGAGCCTCAGTTGACCAATTTAAACTTTGTAAAATACCCACACATGCATTTATAGTGAATTGAGTCAAAACTTCTTCAGGTGGCTGTGCGGAGTTTAATCAAGAAATAGGGAGTATACAGACAAATGTAGTATTCAACTGTATCTCTTGTAAAGAAAGGATTTACAACTCCACAGATGCCTATAAATGTAAATACATTTATGTTTTAATTATCTTCTTGTTCAAGTGCATGTCATTTTTTCAAATCTTTTAAATACTTACATTTTAGTATCATCAAAGAATTTAAACAATAAAACGTAAAAAGATATACGATTTGTATAATTAACACTTGATTCAAAATGTAGTGTGCCTTAATAATTGTTTATAAACAGCTTATTTTCACTATCTTGATAGAGTTATACTGTTTATCACATATTTTGTATCAATGTCAGTTTAACATATGACGTTTTGTTTCATAAATCACTATGTTAATCCCAATGAAGATGGGGAATGCAATCAAGTTGTAAAACAACCAAATAATGCAGGCAAACCTTTATTATTCTGGGGAGATCGTGGAGACAAGGTGTTACAGTGAGTCATTTGATTTTTTTTAATAATTTCTTTTCAAAATTTCAATAATATGTTATTGCAAAGTATTTGAAAACAGATTTTATAATTACACGCTTCGTCAATCGAAATAAAAAGTACACCTCTAGACAGCTCTTTACTTCCGCCTTGGCGACTGCGATATGATCAACGCGATCTCATTGGCTATTGAGACTCTTGGATGTTTTCCATGCAAATATATTGAGGCAAAAAAGTAATCCAAATAAAATTTGGAAATCTTACAAACGTAACTTATTTTGAAATCTATATATATCGAGGTTTTTTGTAAAATTTGTGTAAGATGACAACGTATTGGTAAGCATGTTTAATGATTTTATAGTAATTGTTATTACATAAATATTTGTCATGTCTAGTTCAAAATGTACCAGTAGCCAATGAGATCGCTTGTAATATATCCGGATCGCCAAAACGGAAGTGTGTAGCTGTTTAGGGGTTTGCTTTTTATTTCAATTGATAAAGCAAATAATTGTAAAGCCAATTTCACATTTCGCGAGGGGATAAATAAGGAAATATATATGAGGTCTAAGAAAAGGGATTTCGCTAACAATTTCATGTGCATTTTTGTAACCAACTGCGGATGATAAAAAGGAGGTTTGAATTGGTGACCAAAATTGTTCTGGAAAAGATAAAGGTATGAAAAACTTGGACATTTACGACACTCTTAGGGCCTTGGAGAAACGAGGGGTCTTTTTCATGCAAGCACCAACGAATTAGAGTATCCACTTTGTAATGAAGCTGTCTAATAAGTCATTCTCTTCTGACAAAGCAGTAATTGAGATTAGGATTTTGGACAAATTTTCCTATAAACTGTGCAGTATTTCATGAAAAACTTGGATTACCTATTGTAGACATACATTCCCGGAGGGAAACTATACGCTAGTACTGCTGATAATGAAAAAAAAATTATATATATTTCTTGATGAATTTAAAACATCTTTTATTGTGGCCTAACCCCCATGAAGTCATGATTTAAACAATATAAGTTTAAAGGAAGCAACCTTTTTTTGGTCACAAGTGATCTACCTTATGAAGCAATTTTCACATTGCAATGTCACAAACACGGGTCAAAACGTTCCATTACATATGCTATTTTAAGAACATGTGTATTACTATGTGTGCCAAATTTCAATCTTATCTGAATTGTGGTTTTGTTAATATAGAGAATGTTCGGGAATTTTTTATCACCCCTCGCACTTGTATCATCTCAAATGGTTCCCGAGACGAAGATATTGAGATAGTCTGTATAAAACTTAATAGTCCGATCGTTTTCCTGAGGTTAATTGTCTAAAAAAAAAATAACTAAATCCACAATTTATGTCAAAGCTTTTATATAAATTCTAACTTTTCTGATCCACAGTGGTTCTTGGGGAGGCTGATTCATTATAGACGTATCTCAAAACTTAAAAGAAATTTGGGCATGTTGATGGTTATAAACACCAATCCTTAACAATCCTGACCCCAATTCTGAAAAATGAATTATCTAATACCCTTTATGCTAAATGGTCTGAGTGCACAGTAGAGGTCTAAATTTTAACCCCATGCCTGTCATGGTGATCTTTTTTTCTGTAAAGGAAATAATTCTCTAAATTGAAGTAAAGAAACATCAATCGGCTATGAAAATAATACAGTTAGCGGCTCCTCACATTTCTTTTAAACAAAAATAATGTTACTTTTCAAAACATCAATATCATAACTGAGATAATACTTTTTTAAATAACATCAATATCATTAATGATTTAATCAAGATTAAAGTTGATTGATATTTTTCCGATCTAATTAAAATTCAATATTTCATCCGATCGCATATATACTTGCTACACTAACGTGTATGTGAGTGGATCTACAGTGTAACATCTCGTAATTTTAATTAGATCAATATTTTTCAAGAATATAAATCTATCTTTAAACGTTCGAAACTTTTCTATATATGTTTCCCAGATATCCATCTTTAAGAACTTTGAATAAACTTCCAACACCACACACCCCTCCTTCCAAAAAAAAAATCTCAATTGATCAACTCTTCTTCAAAATTACAGCATAACAGTTGAAACCGATGAAAAAACAACTGGAAATTTTCCTGCAATAACCAGTACGACTGTACTTCTCACCTTCATGTGTTTAGTGTTAACAGTTCTGCTTGTAATGATTGTAATTTTGATGATTTCCAAGTTTCGAGGGATTAAAGGGAAAAGATGACTTAAAGGTAAGCTTTTCAAACTTTCTTCTGCTTTTTTATCCTAATACCAAACAAACAAAAATCAGAAGATTCAGATTTTGAGAAGATATGTTTAATTTACATGTATTAAAGTTGTCACTCAAACTGCATTACAATTTTAAATAATTATGTTAAATTATGAATATGTGTGCACTATTCTCATGTGTATTTTTTGTCGGATCATACATGTATGTATATCTGTGTCTCTCTTTCAAAGAACAAGGTCCACTTTTAACTTTTTTGCCCTGTGGATTTCTGAAAAAAAGCTGACTGTTTAGTTTTAATTATCAATACATTGAATTTCAATATCACTAAGATCTTTAGTAATCGCATATCTTTAAAAAATGACGTAATTTTCTGGCTAGTCAATGCATTATGACGTTACAAAATGCATCTATTTCCTAATATTCTGAAAGAATTTTCAAAAAAGGGGAAATTTTTCAAGCTATTTTTCTATATTTGAATATAGAGCGCAACCCCTGATCCAAAATATGCAACTAGTAAATGATAGAACTATATCTGAGAAATGAAGGACGTGTTTTTGTTTGTTTTCTTTTTTTTTTTGTCCCCCGCTTGAAAAGTGGGGGATATTAATTTGGGTTTGTCCGTCCGTCCGTCCGTCCGTCCGTCCGTCTTTCTGTCTGTCTGTAACGCTTTCGTTTCCACACGATATCTCGAGAACCAATTGAGCTTTTGCAATGAAATTTAGCATAGCAACTCCCTATGGACTAAAGAAGACCCCTATTGATTTTGAGGTCAAAAGGTCAAAGGTCAAGGTCATAAATAAGCAAATTCTGTCTGTTATAACACTTTCGTTTCCACACGATATCTCTAGAACCACTTGAGTTATTGCAGTGAAATTTTACATAACAACTCCCTGTGGCCTAGGGAAGACCCCTATTGATTTTGAGGTCAAAAGGTTAAAGTTCAAGGTCGTAAATTTATACATTCTGTCTGTGTGTAACATTATCATTTCCGGGCGATATTTCAAGAAGATTTTGAGCTTATGCAATGTAATTTTATACCAAAACTCCATAGGACCTCTCTCACCCCTCTCAAAGTGCCCCGCCCCGTTTGTTTTATTAGTATTTATAGTATTACATGTCGCTACTTTTAGCACAGGGGCATGCGGAGAGTTATTGCGTATGAAACAGGCTCTCGGCGGACTTAATGTTTTTATAACATCAATTAGAACTGTTTAGTAAAGGCTAAATAAATCAAACACCATGGATTGTGTAAAATTTTGACAATATCTAGCATGTATGTGACTTCACTTCTGCATATGCGCGACGACATTATAAGTGCTTCCGTGGTCTAGTGGTATGTCTCCCGCTTCATAAGTGAGAGGTCCCGGGATCGAATCTCGGACGATCCTTTTTTTTCTTTTTTTTTTAAATGATAGTATTCAGCATATGAACAGAAAAATTTATGAGGTTATAAAATCATTATTACAGTGTGATAAATATTCCATATAAAAAGAATCTTCTATATACATAATAGAGAATAAGCAATCAAATCTTTATACGCATATTGACATACATGTATTTTATTTGCAACAGTATACATGTATACATTTAATAATTCTACTAATTCAGACAGGGAGATCCGATTCTTTTCCCTAAGCGGGGGACACGAATTCTCTGAATTAGCTTGTTTGATCAGGGAGTGCGCTCATATTCTTTTTCTTCAATGAAAATACTCAAATATTTCATTCTAGTGCATCAAATGGAACATCAATTGTTAATCAGTCCATTGGTGTATCTACAGGGTCATTTTATACATAAAGTGAACCGAGCTCTTTCCATCGTAGTTTTCTCACCTACTAAACAAAATCCTCTTTGCAGTTTCTAGTTTATATGGAAGTGCAAGACAAATATTGGAATAAAGTATTCACGGATGATTATTCCCTATTGTCCATGTTAAAGGTCAATTACTTTTGTCTCTTTCAGAATGTATATGTGTAACATAGTTTTCGTCATCAATGAAGACTGTGATATTTTAGAAAAATATTAAGACTTTACTATGAATGCGAGTTTTGTATGTAGTAGACCTATAAAAGTGGAAACATCGTTAGCGATGAAAATCGGACGGCTAGCAAAATTGTATTTACCAACATACAGTATGACCTTGTAAATATTACAACTGAACTGATATTATACATACTTTGCAACATGATTTATTCCTTCGTTCACGATAATATGGTATGATGCATTATTTAATAAAAACCGTTGCTTGATTTTTCAAGCACGCAACAAGTTTTTTTTTTTTGCTATTTATCAAAGGTTTTGATGTGTTGTAGGAAATGATCATGTAAAAATGCATGGTATACAAATTTCTTCTCCAAGGACAGAATATTTCAATGAAAATAGAAAATACTGCCACTCCTGCTTTATTAAAAAGTCTGAAATTGAATGAAATTGAAATCGTATAAACCGAGGTCCCGTATCGCAATAGGTGCTGGCACGAAAACGATCCCTTCCTGCTCATTGGCCCTAGGTGCCGAGTATAGGAGAATTTGTTGCTCTCCGCCGACAAGTGGCGTCTTTATATGAGTGAAAATTCTAGAGAGGGGATTAAACAATATACAATCAATTAAACAATTTTCCAGAAATTCAATAATATTAATTCAATAGGAATTTTAGATATTTTATAAAAATATGTTTATATGTATTTTTTTAGCCCTCTGTGCATGTTTATGTTCCTGTATTAAATTAACAAAAATGCATGTTTTTTTTTTATTTAACGGAAGTTGTTCGAAATCTTTTTTTTTTCATGCCAATTAATGATCCCTGTGACAATTCTTACATGAAGTATATTTAACGCTTTGTCAGTAAAAATTTGTTTTTATTCTACATATTTGTATTTTTTTCATCCTCAGATTACTGCCTAAAGACACATGAACAGCTTCTATCTTCAGAAAATTTTAATAGAACAATACTATTCAGTTGTTGACAATAAAAGATTTACAAAGTTTATATGATGTTCAAATCATCCATTCAATTTTTATTTTGGTAGAAGATTATATTTTGGGTATTTCAGCGATTCAAAGATTGAATTTCTCAATTTGCATATGTCCCAACCATGATGCATGCCATTGATCTGACGTCAATCCTGTTCAGGCAAAGTACTAATTATGTTTACAGAAGAACTTTATTGCTTTGTCTATGAAACCTCTTATTAGGATATAATCTTTGGTGTTTTGAAGGAATATTATGCACAGGAAGGGTTTTAAAAATAGGAGATAATTTTTATATGCCCTGCGCTTTGTTTCTGCTAAGATTTGTCTCCATACAGGGCAAACGATTTTTTTCTGTTTTTAAAAATTAATTTACGGACATTGCACTATCCAAAAGAAATTATATGAAAAAACATTTATGATATACCCGACTGTGTATCACTCAGTTTAACTATTGAATTAACAAAATCTTCTGGCATCGTGATCCGACAAATCAGATCGATATCAGAACAATGTGATTTTCTGAATCCATTTCACCCTCTCTCTCTCTCTCTCTCTCTCTCTCTCTCTATGATATTGATGCCGTAGACCGCAGAAACATTACGTTATTTTTCTTGCGTATTTAACTGTTTCTTGACATTACGCTTTGTTAAACGGCTTTGTTAAAAGTTTTTTTTTAGGTTACCTGAATAAACTCAGATGACCTATTGTTTACTGTATTTGTCCGTCGTAGCGCGCTGTGATCGTGCGTTAACATTTGACATTTGAACATTTTCACCTTCTTCTTTAAAATCGCTCAACCAATGTCAACCAAATTTGGTCTAAAGCATCTATGAATAAATAGAAACAAACATTGTAAATTTCATCTTCCCTGCCTCCCTGGAGCCTAATGAGCTGGGCCCAAACCACTAAAATAAATGAAATCTTTAAAAATCTTCTTTACTCCTGGGTATCAAGCACTCAAGCTGTTGCCAAGATTGTAATCAGCATTAAGTCCTCTGCCAAAATTATGAAATTCATTATTTAATATATGGAAAAAGGTTACCTCTTCCAAAACCGTTAATTCCGTGGCCCCAGGGTCAGGGGCTCCAATGATAGGGCGGGGCTATATAGATCCTATATACATTCTCTTGGATACTAAACAAACTACCAAGTACATGGGTTTGATGAGCAAGAAAATATGCAAATATTTGTGAATTTAATGCCCCCTCGGTAAGGGATTTTGGAGTTATAGCGGGGCTCTATTGATTATATACTGAAAATGCGTGAATTCTTTGAAATTTTCTTATCTGCTCATGGGTATTAATCAAACTTACTATGCACATAGTTTTGACAAGTAAGAATACCTTTTCCAGAATTGTGAATATTGGCCCCTAAGCGAAGGTTTATAGTTAGCGTAGGGCTCTATTGATAATAAACATTTGAAATGAAAATTGTTCATTCTTTAAATACCTTCTCTGCTCCTGGGTATTAAATAAACTATCCAAAATCATACATATGTTAAACAAGGTTCCTTCTTTCAAAAATATGAATTAATGGCTTCACGTGTTAGGGCGGGGCTCTTTTGATTATATAGGGAAAATGCATTAATTCTTTAAAATCTTCTCCTCTGCTCCTGGGTATTATAGCACAAACTACGTACACTTGTAAATTTCAGGGCCCCTGTTTTAAAAGTTCTGGTGTTAGGGCGGGTCTTTATTGATAACATATTGAAAATGCTTGAATTCTTTAGAAATATTTTCTTTTGCCACTAGATTTTATGATCTAAGTAAATATTTATGATGAAGAAAGGTGCCTCTTTCAAAATGGTTGATTTAGGGGCCCTTTGGTCGGGGGTGGGTGTTACATAACCTGAAAATGAATAAATGCTTTAAAATATACTCATTAGTATTAATCAACCGTTTGTGATGATCTAATATTTTTGATAGAATTATGCAACATGCACGTAAGTTCACTTCATAGAAATGTCGTTATTATTTTCCCGCAAGCACTTAATATCTCTTAAGTTTAGCGTAAATAATATCATAACGTATTGTTTTTGTAGTATGGAAAGGAGGAATGAGTAAACATACATTGAAAATTCATAAATACATATATAATGAAAACATATGACTGGACCGGGAATCGAACCCGGGACCCCCGTGTCTCCGGTCAGGTGCTCTAACCACTGAGCTATCCAGGCCGATGTCCTCAGTCCAGCCTAATTTCCTACATTTTAATAAGAAAATGCATTAAATGGCCCTTTACTTATATGAATTTATTATCTATCACCCTCTTTCCATTTTCATATATCAAAGAAGTAGACACTTGGTGCTTTCATGTTCTATAATGAAATGTCGTTTTGAGAATCCAAATATTTGAAAACAGGCTTTGAGAAATTGAAATGTTCTTGATATTTGCAGAAATATGCGTATTTGACTACCTTCAGCAAAGAATTAAAATATGAGCACAGCCCGGGAACCAAAAAATAAAACATGTTTTTTGATCTCCAGAAATAGGCCTTTCATTATGCATTGGTGTATTTTGGATCAGAGGTTGTGCTCTATATAAAATATTGAAAAAATACTTCAACTTCAGGCCATTTCCAAAGGAATTTACAGGATATGAGAAAAATGACGCATTTTACGACGTCATATTGCATTGACTAGATGTGAAATTACGTCACAATTAATAGATACGTGGTCACCAACAGTCCAAGTGATAAATACTGCACTTGCAACCTAAACTGAGCGGTTTTGAATTTTCAAAAATTCTCAGGGCCAAATAAGGCCCAACGTGGCTCTACCTCTTTAATTAGATTTATGCAAGTATAAAATAGAAGAATTTAAACGATAAATTGATGATTGAATAAACTTTATAAAGTGCATGAAATTGCTTGATCACGAGAAAACGGTATATATGTGATTTTGCGTTAGAAGTAGGAAATTGTATATGTATTATTGCACTCTAAAGGCTTACGATGAGAAATCAACGGAAAATAGAAGTGCAAAAACGGACATTGTTTTTTAAAACTGATTTTTTTATTATTCAGCTGTTTTATTATCAAAGAACTTAAATACTTATTGAAATAGCATAATTTATACTTATCCACTGGTTGTGAGTGGGATAGCTCTTTTATCAAACCCGCAACAGGGAACTATTTCCCCGAGGGCTTGCCCAAGGAAAATAGTTCATGTCAAGGGTTTGATAAAAGGGTTATCATACTCAAAAACCTGTAGTTAAGCGTTTTATTATACTGATGTATAAAATAATGCTGCAAGAATAATCTGAAACCCTGATGACTTCATAATGCTACTGGCTTCATTATGACATCATCAGTCAATAGATTGTCAAATAGGCTGTCAAAATTGGCGGCAAAAATTGCAGAAAATTTTCCGAGGGTTGAAAGCAAAAACTGTACCTCGGGGTATAGCTTTGCTATGACTTAACTATAAAAGGTAGTTTTTTTACCTTCTAAACTTTAGAAAGAAAACATTTTAACATAAGTACATGTATAATAAAGATAAGCTCTGAACTGTATGCAGTTTGGTCCCATGGATGGACAGTCTGGTGATGAATGTATAGTACGAGTACTTAATGTAGCTCATTAACAATTTTCAATATCGCAAAGGCAAACCCTATTTAAATTAAAAATTCAAGTTATACTTTGTACTTCCTGGAAAGTGCTGCTGCTTTCAATAGAATTCGCGTTTCAATAGTAAAAATTTCAAGGAAATAGGCCCAAGTCGAAATATGTTTGACTTTTACCAAATATTTTGTGTACTTATAAATTTACGCTCTCAATTTAAAAAGAGCAGTGTAGCAACCTCTAATGATAAAACGCCGCTTAATGATAGAAATAGCATTAAGCGTTGCAATTGCAACGCTTAATGCCATAAATTATTGCATTAATAGCTGACATCATCAACCGCTAATGCTAAATTGCCGCTTAATGATAGAATTATATCATTAAGCGTCACAAATGCAGTGCAACATCGACGCTTAATGAAACAAGCAAATATCGACATATTCGACGCTTAATGATACACACTTGTGTATCATTAAGCGTTGCAGTTGCGACCCTTAATGATATAAAATTTAGAAATTGCTTGTAATATCTAAGAGAAACACACATCCTGAACAATGAGATATCACTTGTCAAAATATTTATAGACGCCCTTGTTCTATATACAAATGTTAATGGTAATTATTGAAGTTTTTCTGCATGTGTTTTCTATTTAGTCAAGAGAACATCTTTAACCCACGGGTGTTTTAGAGATAGCTCGAAGAAAGAGATACAAACAAAGAGATAAATAAAATGATATTCAAATCCTTTAAAAGAACCATTTTATTAAACTGAAAATACAGAGGTAAACAAGCAATTAAATTCCTTTTAAATTTATACAATGATATGAACAGTCAACCTGAAATATATATATGTTTTAGATTTGATACAACTTAACACATATCACTGTTAACGTTTCAGATATACGTATCAAGATTTTTACTATTGCTTCGTTTCTTCAAATTCCAAAAAGATAGTAATCAATATTGACAAATCATGTTTAAGGATATATAACAAAGAATACAAGTACATGAAATACATAGAATAATATATATTGTGTT